CCTCTGCCTAACCACAGCCTCAGGCTTACAGAAAGTCGAGAAAAGTGGAAAATCGAGCTAGGTCATAAGGAGCGAACTGTAAGCCTTCCACTAGACTAGACTTCTGTCAAGTCACAGTCAAGTCACAGTCAAGTCTGTCAAGTCTCTGTTGGCGAGGACTAGGCGATCCTGTGAGTGAAGCAAAGGACGAGCTCACCCCTTGTACGGAAAAGTGGAACGTTTAGAGGGGATCTATACACTTAGCCTCTCTTTTATTTAATAGAGCACTTAAAGCCAACCAACCCACAGTCATACCTACGTATCCTGCCACGCCTTTGAGGGTACTAATAATATCTTATGCTTTTACATACCTGAATTCCTCTACCGCTGGCTGATATGTACGCTTCTATCGTTGTGGTAAAATCAGATCCTGCGAACTTCTCTTTCTCAGTCTTTCGTCCTCTTACAATAGGAATGGCCAGCAATTCGGTATAGATGTTAGCGTAATGCTCCAAGATTGTGTGCACCTAAAAATATCAACACCAACAAAAATACATCAGTCAGAAACGAAAACCAGGGATGTGGTTTGTCACATTGGTAATTGCATTTCCGTCTTACGGTTAAAAAGGTCCTATTTTAATAGTGAAAAGTTAATTATCTGGAAAACAGACCAAAGAATTTTTGAATGGCGAAAGGCCATCAGCCCATCTTTTTGCACTTATCTTATAAAAACTTCTTTGTTATAGTTGTTGGCGACGCCCATTTCCATACTAAATGACGCGCTCCAGACAACAAAGCAATGGAGCTTTCGCCAATCCGATTTTCGACGGCCTCAGCTAATAATCATTTCGATTTACTAAACCCAGACTCAAGGAGTGAGTTAGCTTATCGGTCGTGTAATTATAAAACTTGGCGAAAGAAATTAGCCGTTTTATTTGAATTTATAGACTGTAAAAAAATGTAAGATGCAAAAACAATTTTAGAAGTTAAGTTAAGTTAAAATCTTTTTTCAAAGAAAATCAGACTGAGCTACGTTGGTCAAAAATATTTGAAGATAACAAACCTCCTCTATGGCGCTTTCTCGATCAGCATGGGCCGTATGACCTTCTTGCCACAGAAACTCGCGTGTACGTATAAATGGTTGAGGGTGCTTGAACTCCCATCGCTGAAACGGAAAAGCAGCAATGCAAAATGAATCCCAATCTCGTACCGTTTTGTCGCAATGAGTAACGGAATGAGACTAAAAAAAGCCGGAAGAACCATTACTAAAAGTAGTTCGTATGGTGGACACCAGGGAAAAACGTTTGCGCATGCGTGCACTTCAGCACGTTTTGTAAGACTTTTGAAGAGTTTGAGTGAGAAAATAAATGTTTGTTTTCTCCAAGTATACAAAAAAGTTCGAGAGTATACTTTTTCCAGACCAAGATACTGTATTAACAAACGCAATATGAAAGAATTAGTCTTAAGTTTCAAGCATGGACACTAGAGTGACCACAGTAAATCCGTGAAACTCTAGTAATACTAAATAGCACAATTTCATGCAAATTCCATTGTTTTTTATTGTTTAACTAGCACTATTTTGTACTATTTAGTAATTAGTGTTACACGGATTTACTGTGGTTTTGGCATTTTGTGAAGTCCAAATTATAAGGCATGTTTGAAAGTCAAATTTACTTATGTTTTGACTAATTTGCATACGGATTCAGAGCATGCGCCGACGTTTTTCACTCGTGTCCGTATGGTGTACTTACCACTACATTGTTCCACTGGTTGTATTTTAGAGGTAAATCTCTGTGTGATTGGACCCATTTGGCGTAAGCAGGGTACATCACTACAATAAATATATCAGTGTGAGAACACAAAACTTTAAAACACATTTCGTATTTGTTTTATTCTCATTGCACTTTCTTTTTCTTTCTTTCTTCCTTCCCTCACTTCCTTTTTTACCTCTCTTCTTTTCTTTATAAATTTTTGACAGGTCTATAACGTATGCGTCAAATCATATCACAGCGGATGGAAAGGTACAATTTGAGGGAATATTTTTTGAGGAAACAAAGAAGTTCTACCCTTGTCAAAAGACATTTCCTTTGGTTGAGCTATTTCTTACCTGTTTCGCTGGTAGGTCGAACAGCTATTGGCTCGGCCAACTCTGATTGGCCAGACCTCGTAACCCAGGCAACCTAAAACAGATTATTAACGTAAACTACGAGTCAAACTAAACTTATGGATTGACGGGGAGTATGATCGTCCCATTGGAATAGTAAATATCCACCGCAATAATGAGTGTTTCTGAAGCTAATTCAATAACCATCAGGACTAGATCACACTCAACAAACAAACGGACGATAATATCTCAAGTAAATCACTTTCAGTCATAAACTTGTAGGAACAAAAGAAAGAAAGCGAAGGAAAGAAAGGAAAGGACTCTAAAGGAAAGGGAAAAAAGGAAAAAGAAAGCAAGGGAGACAATAGGAAAATAAAGGATCGAAAGGAAAAAGAAAGAAAGAAGAAAGGAAAAACAAGATAAGAGAAATGAAAAGAACCTAAAAAAATCGGAATTTAACAATGCTTCAGAAAAAAAGTCTAAGAATTCTGGTTAGGAAAGTACTTCATCACACATAGCGTCACACAACTGTCTTACCTCTGGTGCGAAGTCAGCGATGTGGTCTTTTTCCTTCTCGAGAGCGGCTTGAGACACGAAAATTGGGAAGTATACATTTTCTACACCAAGTTTTTTGATCTCAGCATCGAAAAACGCTAGAATCGAAAAAAAAAAACAAAACAAAAAAAACATACATTTTTTAATCAGAAGATGAAAATCTCTTTTTCAGTGGTGCCAGACTAAAAACATACCTACAAAATACAATATCAACTGTACTCATATGCATTTAATTTTAATATGTTAGATTGAAGACAGGGTTCGTGCTGAGGTAACCACTTAAAATTCAAGGACTATTCAAGGAGTATACAAGGACCCAAAAAATGAATTTTCAAGGAGTATGTTCAGCTAACTATGCCAAGGTTTTACACGGTGGTTGCACATGGCCGACTTTCAGATTTTCCAATCTTTTTGACTAGATCTATTTCAGAACCATGCAAGTAATGATCAAAGCAAAAATTCAAGGAGTTTTCAAGGAGTTTCGCTAAAATCATAAAATTCAAGAGCTTTTCAAGTGCCCTTGAAAACGTGAATTAAATTCAAGGAGTTTTCAATGAGTTTTAGGAGTAGCACGAACCCTGTGAACACTTCATTGGAATATGAATCTACTGTATTATGTTATACCTTTGATGGATTCCCAGATAGCATAGGACCAGGCACGTAATATATAACACCCACTAACATCATAGTATTCAATCATTTCTGACTTGGTGATAATCTGGGTGTACCATTCACTGAGGTTCTCACTCTTCTTGGCTTCCATACCCAACCTGTTAGTTATAAAAAGAGACGAAATGAGAAAAACTGAGAAAATTGCTGGGTTTCAATCAGCTGATACAAATCTCTGAATCTCATAATCTGCTCTACATGGTGTTCAAACACTGACCACCACGTGCTGTCAACCAGAAAGAATGCTATTGAAAACTTGTGATTCAGCTGATTGCTTACTATGATCAATCACGTGACTTCTTGGAGTTGAATGGGGGACAAATAAACGGTTGACTGGGGGGCAACTAGCGGATGCTAAGTCAAAACATATTAAAGTAAGTCCTCAAACTATTGTAGTTGACTATTTTCACGACATCAAACCAGAAAACAAGAGATCAAAACAACCTCCAGGATTCTACAAGCCATCAAAAAAGAGCTATTACCGGAAGTGACGTCTATTGATAGCAACCTATAGGCAATGTGCTCGAGCACGAATATCTACCACAAAGAATGATGGGAAACCGAGTACTACACAAATCAGAACAAGAAAATCAATAGAATTATCAGAAAACAATTACTCTTTTATTTTCGTCTGTTGAAATACTTACTGTTTTAAAAGAAAAGTCGAAGAAAAATTGTCAGAGGAATTTTTAGAGGAGCTAAAAAACCGTAAATACTAGGTTTCCCATCATGCTTTGTGCTAGAGATTCGTGCTCGTGCACATTGGCTATGGGGCCAATAACAGACGAGTAGAGATCATCGTAATTGTACCTTGTGGTTTTCTTTAATCCACCCTCATCTCCACCACCATCACCTTTCGATGCTTGCTGAGGCTTGTCTTCTTTACTCTTCTTTTCTTCAGATTTTGCTTCTTTCTTCTTGTCTTTCTTATCCTTTTTTCCTTTGCCGCCAGCACCAGCCACATCCTCGCCAGTCAGTTCTTTGTACTGGGCTTTGAGACTTAGTAAGGTTTTCACTTCTGCGTCAACCTGGTCCTACAAATGGTATCATTACACTATATATTAAAGCTTAGCAAAAGTTTAAGTTTAATAATACTTTTCACCAGATGATAACTTAACAAAACAACAACAACAAATGGTAAGGGATGATAGTAGGGGGGGAAATCAACTTAATTGCCGTGTAAAAACTAATCTCCGAAAGTCGGTGAACTCGGTAAATACTTCTAAGACAGGTCCCTTCAGATCCTCTAGTGTTGCATTCAAACGGGGTTGTATTTATGCAAGGGGAAAAAATGTAGTGTCAAAAATGTTTCAATTTTTTCAATATTGCATACTACCATAGTCCTTCAGTATAGCTTTCTATCAAAATGGCGGTGAACAAACAGAGCACACTTATCCTAATTTTACTGAATTCAAAAGAATGATGCATTGTGGTCTATTGGGTATAAACGACACCATATAAGGAATGGAAAAAGATTATACCCAAGACCATCTGCGCGCGCGAAGTGCTGCTAGACCCTGCGACCGTTTTTATTTTTGCCTAAATAAGTTCAATACCGAAATGAAATTAGTAACTATATAATAAAACGAATAAATCAGCTTTTTTCCGTGCTCCGTTTAGTAAAGCACTTAGGAAGCTCCGTAAGCACTCAACACTTCTTTCGTACTTACGCTACTTCTTGCGTGCTTTATTACTGAACGGAGCACTGCCTAAGTTTTTGACTATAGTAACATTCTCACCTTTGGAGCACCACTTGTCTTCATCCCTCGTACTTTGTCACCTTGTTTCGTAATGGCGTCTTTCAATTCCTCGGCTTCTTTACTCAGTGCAACCGCAGCAACAGGCTTTTCTTCTGGTTTTTGACTCCCATTTTTCTTCTGATCTTGCTTTTTCTCTTGTTTTCCTTTCCCTGATGCGGCTAAGTCTTCCCCAGTCATCTCTTTGTCATCAGCTACAGCAGCAGTCACTTTCTCCTTTAATATATAAAAAGAAAGAGGTTAGTCTCAGTTTTCCATTCATACGAAATCTAAAAATATGGAGTGCTCACCATTTACCCGATAAAACCGAAAATTCTTGTTGGAAAGCAAATGGTAAGTGTCATACCGATCGAAAACTTCCGGAAAATCCGGTCTTCCGACTGAATCGAAATAATGCACTTTTCCCGCTCATTTCGGTTCTTCCGGTAGACACGCATACCATTTTTCATAAGCCAAAGTTTCCCGCTTTTTCTTATTATTGGCATGCAACGAATTTCCAACTCTAGTAATTTGTTTACCTTTTCGGCTCCGCTAGTCTTCAGCTCACGGACTAGATCTCCTTGTTTTGAGATTTCAGCTTTTAGCTTCTCGACAGCCTCTGGAGAAGCGCTTGGTTTTACTTGCACGGCGTTGTTTTGTTTCTTTTGTTCTTTTTTATTTCCTTTCTCTTTCTTATTATTCTCCTCCTGAAAAAATATCAACGTCGAGTGAATTAATGCATTTAGGTATAATAATATTTATCCTCCAGCAAACACGTGGAGCTTCGTGAAGCAACAGTAGTAGATACATACAGCGAGAGAATTTTTTAAGAGAAATTATCGCTTAAAATAAACCAAAAAAAGTTTTCAGCAAATTTAAAATCACTTACATTGTCTTTTATAAACAAGTCAAAAGTAGAATGATAAAAACTTTATGCCGAGATTTTACACTATTTAACTGAGGATTTTACAATGGTTAACAATTCCTTCGGCTGCTCTTTCAAACATAAAATAACAAGGTAGCACAGTAATTATAAAGATTATAAATCATTAAAAAAATATCGGGTACTGATATCAAAAGGCGAATTAAGATATCCTAAGGATTTAAAAAAAAAAAGGGGTTTAAGCGTCGGTTGAGTGAAATTCTAAAGTCTATTTGTTTAGCTCTATAAAATATAATTCTAATCTAGTCTTGAATCTGAACTACACATTTTCTAAACCTTTGAAGGTTTTTAACTCAGTGACTATTCGGCTAATTTTAGCTTCATACAAACCTGTAATAAATCAGGAAATTAAGACTAAAAAAGCCAAATAAATAGAATTCAAAGTGAGAAGATAAAACGGGAAACCTTCTAAAAAGACTCGCCTTGAATTAAGTACAACCCGTCTTGTCTGTCCCGGCTCTCAACTCGAAGAACAATAAAACGAATAACTCGTAGCGTGGCGGGTACCAGAAGTAATATTTCAAATCAAAATATCCAATCAATGGAAAGAGACCACAAAATGGCTACCATACCAATTTTCCATACCTTTGAAAACACGTTTCGAAGAAAGATCGAGTTACTTTGACGTTACCAAAATCGACTGAATGAAGTTCGACTGAATGAAGTTACGTTAGTATTTACACAGTTGTTGTGCGTGTATTTTGTGGAAATATACTTTTATACATCCGAATAAAACTGAACACTGGCCTCCCCTATCCCCTATCCTCTTCTAATAATAGAAGTCATATCACCATGGCAACACTATTTTACTTATAAAATTCAGTCCCCATAGCAACAAGTAAATTTTTTAGCTGCAGTGAGGGTTGAAGGACAATCTTGAAACCATTTTTTCTTGACGTTATCACTTCCCCTTAAATGAGGAGAGAGAGAGAGGGAGAAAGATAACAGTTCCAAAACCACAAAGGGGAAAACAACCGTAACGGTGGGTCGAGTTGGTATTGTAATGCATCACGGGGCAGTCCACAATGCACTCGACCAAAATTTTTCTGTCGACCTCGGAAAGGCTAATACTAGACGATTAATAAGGTAGGACTTGGACTGCCTTTTTTTGATCAGCCTACGGGATTCGGAAGTCTACTAATTCGTAGAATGAAAAGTGAAAGCGTGTTCGCTAAAAAAAAAACTACCTCGAAATACGAGTACGAAAAAAATATCGCAAATTCGAAGAAACACTACTTTTGAAAAAGAAAAAGGTATACAGAGGAATACAGAGCGTTTTCACATGATGTTACAGCCGCCATATTGGTGTACCTTTGACAATAACTTTGTCCTTTGTCTTTGGTGTCACTTTGGTATCACCAATATGGCTGCCATCTCTATTGTCAGTTAACTCTCCAGGGACTGAGTGAAAGAGTTTTATTGGAAAAGTAAGGTGGTGTCGCAATGATTCCTGTAACTGTTTGTTAAAAAATTACAAACCTTTGATGGTTTAGCACCTCCTGTGGTCTGTGGCTTGGTGTGTCCATCAGGGATAGAAAATAATACACAAGGACTTTCACGACCTGTGTGACGACTAACATCGTCAAAAAAAAGAAATATTCAAAATTGTTAGCAACGGCAAAGTTAAGTTCAAGGCTCATGAGCAAGATATCTTCTAACTTTCAATCCGATCTATAGGTTACTGCGCTCTGACTTTGATCAGCTCCAGTGATCAGCCAAGAGGCTGTTTCAGGGAATCGATAAAATATAAAATATGAAGGGTTTTTTACTAGCTTCACAAGCACTGTGCTTCATCTAAAAACCCGGCCAACTTTATTCGTGTAACAAATACCTTGGAGGTTCGTAAGGCTGATCACAAATGAAATACCCTCTTCGTTGTAGTTGGATGATGTCGCCCTTCTTGAGGTTCGCAAGCTCTGGCTCTCCAAACATGAGTGTCTCGGTCTATACAACAATAAAAATAACACTGTTAGTCTTAAAAAATATTCTCGAAAGGTATAAAATTCTAGTTCCTAGTGATTTAATGTAATAGGCAGGTCCCTTAGGATAGAACGAGCAAACATTTTGGTCGCAATTAAAATTCTTCTCGAAGAAAAAAATTAAAATGAGAAAATTTCTTTTAAAAACTTGTAAAAGAAAACTATGTATTCCCCAAATATGTTTCCAGATAACATAAGAGTTAATGCAAGATTCCTTTAATGAAATCCAAAAATTTTAAGGATTGTTTAAAATGTAAAACCCATCTCTTCCCTGACTATTTACTTCTTTAAGGACTTTTTAAGTGTCCTTTATAAGAAACCTTAATATATTTCAATTCCAACAGTTCAAAGAGTTTAAGAAGTTACTACCATCACACGTCGATAAAGTCATAATAAATAAAGTTTATCAAACCTTCGTGTTCTTGTTGATGTAATCTTTGAAGTTATCTGTCTTGGTTATGATTGGTTTGGTAATGACATTATCAAAATGAACCATTACTACTGGTATGTTTGAGGCAGAGGATGGATCGGCCAGCCATGTTAACTTGGTTGTCTTTTTGAAGTCCTGAGCAAAATATCAAAACATCGTAAATAGTCTTTAGCATAAACCTACTAGCATACTTTCACGAATCCTGCAATCTGATTGGCTAAAGTACTCACTATCTATCCTGTGATAGATGGCGAGTAGCGAAAAATAAACAAATGCATGGTCAAGTTTTGTCGAAATCTCTGCTTGTTCTCTAAAAAATCTTTAAAAATCGATTGTAGAAAACAAAAGACACTCTTAAGGAAAGGAATGGAGGTTTTGGACAGTACAGACAAATAAAAAACTGGAGGATTATAGCAATTCTAACACGAAAAAGCGGCCGTCAGATTTCATTGAGATTTTCAAGAGCAAAACTTAGGAAAGGACAAACAACTGACTACTGAGATAACAATGTTATTTTAAAAGGATTTCCCCAAAGAACAGGAAAAACCCAAAAGAAAACTTATTCATATATATTCAAGAAGAATTTCAAAACGGTAAGAATAGACGAAACAATAAAGAAAGTGCAAGTTAACTGACAAGAATCTTAAGCAAGTTGTAAACATGGCACGACTTTGAATGATCTGACAACAAAATATTTGTAAACAAATCCGTTCAGTTTATCACTTATTAATTAGAAAAATGATCCCAAGAACTGATAAAAATGAAAAAGAATATTGGAGAGGGGAGTTTTGAGCGTAATAATAGAGACAAAAAACTGTAGAAATAGAGCAAGTTTAACAATGCGCGATAAGACGTCGAGTCGAGTTCGCAAAGATGAATGAAAACAGTGCGGCCGGTTGACCGTCGTTTTGTTAGTTTTTGTCATTCTTAGTTTTCAATATTATAATATTAGCTAGTAGGTTTATGCTAAAACAATTAGACTACTCGTTCTCGTTTTCTATGAGTCAAATAGTCGATTCGGCGCTACGTGCCTCATCGACCATCTATTGACTTGTAGAAAACTCGACCTCGTAGTCTAATTGTTAAGTAGGAAGAAGCATCAGATGAGTAACTATCAATAATAGTAGTTATGATAAAAAAATAATAATACATATATGTTGAAATATCTTTGGATAGCAAGGACTGAAAGAACAAAAAAGCAAGCAAACAAACGAAACACAAAATAACCAGGACAAAACCAAAAAGTGAACAAATGAACAAACTAAACTAACAGATACGCTCTTACAGTCATACACACAATATGGTTCTGTATGTACCTTGTTGTCCAAATGTAATTCTCCGTCAATTGATTCAACCATTCCTTTTGAATTCCTAGAGAAATTTCAATAAGAAAAGTAAATTTTATACAAATTGACATGGTCAAATGTTTACCAGTAAGATTGATATATGACCAACTGCACTTCCCTGTTGACAGTAGTTTATGTACTTACTTGTTTATTTTAGTGACCTTTGTATTTCCCCAGTTCATAAGTGTGACCATGTCACCCACTGACAATGTTTGTGCATCTTCACCTTCGATGAATACTTTGGGTGAATACCACACTTTTTTGGTTCCAACATCAGGGTTCTGAAAAATGGTCATTATTTCTAATAAATATGCTCTGAATGCACAAAACAGAAAATGCAATAGGTGAAACAAATGAATAAAATAATGAAAATTTTAAGAAAGGGAGGATAGAAAAAAGAAAAGAAGTGAAAAGAAAGGAGATGAAATGAAATGGGAAAAAATACCAAAACAAAGTTGCAAACAGATGGTTTAGCTAAACTTACAGTATACATAACGATATTAGATATCTGTACACACTGTAAATACCTTAGGATGAAGAGGACACATTTTGAACTCCTCTTTTGCTGCTGAAAGATTATAAGGAACAACAGAATCTTTTTGTAGCGCTGTGTATCGAGGTGCTATGGGATCAATAACCTAAAAAAATAGCAAACAAAATATTTTAATATTAAGATTATGGATAATTTAAACATAGTAAAGTAATGAAAAAAAACTGAAAAGGTAGGAATGTTACATTTCAGTTTTAAAATTACAGCTGACTGTGCCACTACTGTATTAAGTTTCTCACTTAACCATTCTTTCTATATTCTGGTTTACCTTCTTATTGATTGACCAGATCTTATCCCATTCCATTTGGACAGTAGCTCTTGATGAACCTTGAAGAATAATGAACTCTCTCAAGCCTTCAACAGTCATCCCACGACGCAAGACACCACGCACCGTAGGAAATCTGGGATCATCCCTTGAACATCAACAACAAACTCAATCTTTTAGCTTGTATTATAATAATAATAATAACGATAACAACAATAATGATAATAATAACTATGACAACAACAATGATAATAATAATATAATAATTATAATATTAATAACAATAACAACAACCACAACAACAACAATAATATTAATAATATAATAATAATAACAATAAAAACAATAATAATAATAACAATAAAAACAATAATAATAATAACAACAACCACAACAACAACAATAATATTAATAATTAACAACAACAACAACAACAACAATAATATTAATAATATTAATAATATAATAATAATAATAATAATTTTTAGTCTGGAAAGTCTTCTAGGCTGATTACAAATAAGTTTCTTTGATGACATATATATTCAGTAATCTTACCATCCATCCACATATCCCTCATTAACCAGATAGGTCAACTTCCTCTTTGACATGACAGTATTTTGAAGGTTCAACCGACTGAATTCATAGATATGAACCCTCCTTAGACCTACAAACAAGAAAGTGTTTTTGTCAAGCTTGTGCAAATAAAGTGAAACTAGTGCCAATTATTTTTTATTTACCAAGAGTATCGAGAAACCAGTAGTACTGTGGATCACGATCATGGTATTCCATCGTTCTCAATGCATGAGTTACACCTTCTAAGCTATCTACAATAGGACATGCAAAGTCATAGATTGGGTAAACCCTGTAAGAGAAAAAAAAGATCAGAATTAACAGCTATAACAATCAGCTTTAGTCTCTGACTCAGTCGTTGTTAGTGTTGTCATGCAATATTGCTCTCTCCTATATGTAGTAGTAGGGGAAAGAGTTTTGCGTGACAACACTAATAGTTGCTGCAAAGAAGACTATATTGGTATTATCCAACATTGAAACAATAAGCAAATATTCAGCATGACAAATTTATTTCTTACATTCTCGTTCTTGTGACTAAGTTTATTTTTAAAAAAAACTTTTTCAGTGATGGGTATTCTTCCAGAAAAATATGGCGTAATAAAGAGGTAGGTTTAAAGTGAAAGAAAGAATGTCCATACTTGTATTTGTATCCTGTTTTGACATGATACTCTGGTTTACAGCGGAAGATGGTTGGGTCTCTTAGGGCTCCATTCAAGGAATTATAATCAATTTTAGCTCTCAAACAGCACATTTGGCCTCGTTCTGTACCATTTTTCATCTCTTCCCAGTCTTGCATATTCTTCTCAACAGCTAACATTATGAAGGAAAGATACTATTTCTTAGGTAATTTATGGTTAATATCTTAAACCTTATTCTTACCTATAGACCAGTTTGGAATTCCAAATTACCGCTGTGTTCCTTGATTGCAGACTCATTTGCACAGGGTTAGCCTTGTATCAGTGTTTAAATATTCACAAATACCAACGGTAAAGTAAAGAATGCACAACTTCAACAATACAAACACTTTGAAACTCGATGGACCTTGACTGGAACACGCAAATATTCTACACAAAGTCGAGGCTAACCCTGTGCAAATGAGTCTGTAATCAAGAAACACAGCGGTAATTTAGAATTAGAAACGGGTCTATTTTCGCAAGTATAAATTTTTGCAACTTTCACAATTTAAGAAAAAATTGTGGCACGAAAAAAGATTTTGCAAAATTAGTACCTAATTAGTACAGTTTTACTCAAATTTTTATTGCCATTGCGAAATCTAATACTTGCAAAAATTCAGCTCCCAAATTTTTGAGAAATTTAGTACATGCGAAAATTAGTAAGAACAAGGTAATTGCAGTAGAGATGACACAATAGAGTGTCAGTTTTCATCTGATGTGAAAAGCTCTGGGCTGTATGAGTGCCTTGCATAAGTCAAAATTCTAAAAAACACAATGTTCTCAGCAAGGCACTCATGCAACCCTGAGCTTTGCACATGGCATTTTTCTAGAAATTTGAATTGCAGTTTTTTTCCCATGCAATAAGGTTTTGGTCAGGCATGCAGTGCCCTGACATTGGCAGTGATTGTGTCTGTGTTATGTTCACACCATGTTTTGGGAAATTTGATTAGATAATTGAGAGTAATAAAACTCCACTATGATAGTAAACTAAAATAACAAATAAATGAGATTTAGCAGTGCAGACAATTAATCCCAAGACTATTTATTTATAAGCCTTATTAAACTCAATAATAATTCATGAGGAAAACACAACAGAAATTGCCACCGTGAAGAGTTCTGTAAATCAGATACAGAATCCTGTTCATTTGCATAAACTTTGAGTTGGATTTTCTTGGCCAGATTCACTTTAATTTTGAAAATTTTAGTGAAACACAAAGGAACTAACCTAGACGTTTGATAAGTCATATACAGTATTCGTGTCCGTGTTGTATCAGATATACAATCACTCAGCTACGCCTCGAGTTTGTATATCGGATACAACACAGCCACTCATGCTGTATATACTACATACTGTACAGTGACAAACTTACAGTTATCCCTATTTGCTGATTTAATCCTTTGTTCTCTCTCCTCCCTCATCTTTTCAGTCGGAGTGTCATCAACATATGCTTGTCCCTTTTGAATCATTTGCTCAGCATATTGAATGATGGTGTCAAAGTGATCAGAAGTATGTGAAAACATGTCAAATTTAAAATGCAGCATTTCCAAATCTTTTAAAATAACCTAATAAGAAAAAAAACATTGCAACAATAAAAAGATGATTTTCTGTTTTACTACTGTTTTACTAAAGAAACAAATAAATCTATTAAATTCTAAAAACAAACTCTCAGCTGATCTAAACGTACTGTATGTCTCACAGCATTCTTTACTAAAATGACCAAATATATCTCAAATTTAACCAATTCTAAAAATTCATCACCTGTTCAAATTCTGCATTCTCTTTAGCAGGATTAGTGTCATCAAACCTCATGATTAGCTTCCCATTGTAGACATTCTTATAATACTGGTTTAGAAGTGCTGCTTTAGCATGACCAATGTGTAGATATCTATACATAAAGAAGCAAGATGAAATGTATAAATGGTTTATGTCACATAAACCCAACAATTCAACAGTCACTGCACTTACCCACTAGCTTCTGGTGGGAACCTGGTCACAACTTTTCCTTCTTCTGCACCAGGAAGATCAACATACTTGCCTTCTTGCTTCATTTTTGTCTGGTGAAAAATAAAATAAAAAATCCATAAAATACTTTTGTCATGTTCTTTATTGTATTTTCAACATACATCATTTGCAATGTTTGAATTTTTGGCTTTGATCATCACAGTTGACCAAATTCCTGATGGTGTGAGTTCATATTTAAATTTGAATACACTGGGAGCAAAATCCAGATGTGTTGGTTTTGAATGCCAGTCATTTCGAGACACAGTCGTTTCGAGACAGGTCGTTTCGAGACACTAAGATACAAGTTCGAGACAGGCATATATCCGTTTCGATACACCTCATACACCGTTCAATATATATCATATATA